TTAGGTATCGTGAGTATTTCGACAAGGTGGTAAGGGGCACGGGCAGATGCCACGTTGCACGACACGTTTTCTGAATACAAAGCGCGAATCTAGCATACACAGTCGGTCACCGAATCTACTCTGGAGCTGGTTTACAGGACGAGGAGGCAATAATCCGAGGATGGGAACGTTTCGACCAATATTGCGAAAGTTTCCGTACACGGGGGCTCATGGTCCGTTGAAGTTCAGCCGATCATTCTTTTCTTTGCGACGGCTGACATATGAATGGAAGGGAAGAAGGAATGCCACTTGATGCTCGATGGAATCCAGACACGTTTCGACGTTGACTGATGTCCATGGCACCGTGAGGGGAATTTCTACCATTTTTCCTACACGCGAGAACGATAATCGTTAATACGTTTTTACAACTTCTCGTGTTTCGCTACTCGAGATGCCAACTGGCTTCCGGATCGCCGATTTACACGGTATTTCGCTATAAACGAAACGTTCGTTCGATCGAACTTGCGATAATTCGATGCAAAGGGGCGTTTGCGCCGACACATTTGTCCCCGCGATCACGCCTGCGACCGCTATCGTTCGATCGTTACGATCGAACTATGTACATACGCCAGCCAGATCGTATCGTCGCGGTTCGACCCGGCGTGTTCGCTACTTTTATTCCACCGTGCTAAAGGCACGCGTGTGACGCTTAATCACGCAAGATCATTGGGCACGTAATCGGTTGTAAACGATCCCGGCGATGCCGGGTACGTACCGCGGCTCGTTCTCGAAGACGATCTACTCGAGACGCTCGTGAAAGCCGTTTAACGAACCGCTTAGTACCCGGATAACGCGATCACGTCACGAGGAACGTACACGGCTAGCTTCTTTGTGGTCGAGCTGCAAATCGTTCGTGTCAAGAATTACAACCTCCGGCGTAGCCTCGATGACGTGTGAACGGGAAACTTTCGTCCGATAAAAAATCACGCTTCGTCACCTCGGGTGAATTTCTCTCTGTTCCTTTTTCACCGAACGAAGATCCCGCGAGGAACGTGCTGTTCTTGCGAAAGATAAACCGGAGTTTATTTTTTCTCGCGGTTCA